GACAGGCAGGAGGAGTTCCAGTGCTTGGCCGCTGCTTCACCTCATCTCGTGTCCGTACTGCTTACCCCTGAGGGAGACCCGGATGCACTTGACATCCCGACTCCGCGCTCTTACGCGGAGGCGATAGAGGGTCCCTACTCCTCTCAGTGGCAGGCAGCTATGGACGCAGAGATGGCTTCCTGGAAGTACACAGGCACCTACGTTGACGCTGTTCCCCCTCCTGGGGCGAACATCGTCAGTGGCATGTGGATTTTCAGGGTGAAGCGGCCGCCGGGTTCTCCGCCTGTCTTCAAGGCGCGTTACGTGGCTCGTGGCTTCAGTCAGCGGCAGGGAGTTGACTACTTTCAGACCTTCTCCCCCACCCCGAAGATGACCACTCTTCGGGTACTGCTGCACGTAGCTGCTCACCGTGACTACGAGCTACACTCTCTTGACTTCAGCACTGCTTTCTTGCAGGGCAGCCTGCACGAGGAGATCTGGCTGCGTCGCCCACCTGGTTTCACTGGGTCTTTTCCTCCTGGCACCCAGTGGAGCCTACGGCGGCCAGTCTACGGTCTCCGCCAGGCACCACGTGAGTGGCACGACACACTGAGGACTACACTTGCGGCTCTTGGGTTTGCTCCCTCTACTGCCGACCCGTCGCTGTTTCTGCGCACCGACACTTCTTTGCCGCCGTTCTACATCCTCGTGTACGTCGACGACTTGGTCTTTGCCACAGCTGACACTGCTGGACTCGCCCACGTGAAGTCCGAGCTGCAGAAGAGACACACGTGCACTGACCTGGGTGAACTGCGCAGCTACCTTGGCTTGCAGATCACTCGGGACAGAGCACGCCGCACCATTACCCTGACTCAGTCACACATGGTGCAGCAGGTCCTTCAGCGCTTCGGCTTCACGTACTCCTCGCCTCAGGCCACTCCTCTGCCTACTCGCCACTCGCTCTCAGCTCTGCCTTCGGATGAGTCCGTAGAGTCGAGTGGCCCGTACCCAGAGCTTGTTGGCTGCCTCATGTACCTGATGACCTGCACACGACCTGACCTTGCATACCCTCTTAGCATTCTCGCACGCTATGTTGCTCCTGGGAGACACAGACCGGAGCACATGGCTGCAGCGAAGAGGGTGTTGCGCTACTTGTGCAGTACGTCGGGCATGGGGCTTGTGCTTGGAGGGCAGAGTCCAGTGGTCCTTACTGGACACGCAGACGCTTCTTGGGCTGACGACCAGGCTACGCAGCGGTCGTCACAGGGTTACACCTTCAGCCTTGGTTCCGGCTCTGTTTCGTGGCGGGCTACTCGCTCGTCTTCTGTTCTCGGCTCCAGTTGTGAGGCTGAGATCTACGCAGGAGCCATGGCTGCACAGGAGCTTCGCTGGCTCACCTACCTGCTGACTGACCTCGGAGAGTTGCCTCGTTCTCCTCCAGTGCTGTACGTAGACAACAAGGCCATGCTGGCCTTGTGTCGGGAGCAGCGACTGGAGCACAGAACGAAGCACATTGCTCTCCGCTACTTTCTTGCTCGTGAGCTGCAGCAGCGTGGTCAGCTGCGTCTTGCGTACGTGGCCTCTGAGGCCAACACTGCTGATATCTTCACCAAGGCGCTTGCGCCTTGTGACCATCAGCGCTTCTGTACTCAGCTGGGCCTTGTGCCTACCTTGCCTCACTTGCTCACCTCTTGACCGTGCTTGTACTGTTACATATATATATACCTGCTCTTGTTTGTCTAGCCTTTTTTATATATATGTACTCCTGCATGTGAACTGGCCTTGTGGCCTTGAACTTGTGCTCGGAATGTGTGGTGACTTTGTGATCCACCCTGAGCTTGCTTTGCTTTGCTTTACTTGACTGGTCTTGTGACCCCTTGTTCTCCCCCACTTTGCCTATGGGGGTGTGTCAGAACATTATAGCTCATGCATATTGTGTAGGCTATAGTGGGGTAGCCCATAAGGGGTACAACCAATCAGGGTTAGTACTTGTACCCAATTCATTCATAGTTCATTCATTCCTTGTTTCTTCTCACGAAGATGACTACTCTTCGGGTGTTGCTGCACGTCGCTGCTTAGCGTGACTACCAGTTGCACTCTCTGGACTTCAGCACAGCTTTCCTGCAGGGCAGCCTGCACGAGGAGATATGGCTGCGCTGCCCACCTGGCTTCACTGGGTCGTTTCCTGCATGTACCCAGTGGAGCCTCCGGCGGCCAGACTACGGTCTCCGCCAGGCGCCTCGCGAGTGGCACGACACACTGAGGACTACACTTGCGGCTCTTGGGTTTGCTCCTTCTACTGCTGGCCCGTCGTTGTTTCTACGCAACGACACCTCGCTGCCGTCGTTCTACGTCCTCGTGTACGTCGACGACCTCGTCTTTGCCACTGCTGACACTGAGGCAGTGACCTTTGTGAAGTCCGAGCTGCAGAAGAGACACACTTGCACTGACCTGGGTGAATTGCGTAGCTATCTTGGCTTGCAGATCACCCAGGACAGAGCACGGCGCACCATCACCCTGACTCAGTCACACATAGTGCACCAGGTCCTTCACCGCTTCGGCTTCCAGTTCTCCTCGCCACAGCCCACTCCTCTGTCTACTAGCCACTCGCTCTCAACTCCACCTTCGGACGAGTCCGTAGAGCCGAGTGGTCCGTACCCAGAGCTTGTGGGTTGCCTCATGTACCTGATGACGTGCACACAACCTGACCTCGTGTACCCTCTCAGCCTTCTGGCTCGCTACGTGGCTCCCGGTAGGCACCGAAAGGTGCACTGGGATGCTGCGAAGAGGGTACTGCGCTACTTGTGCAGTACGTCAGGCATGGGGCTAGTGCTTGGAGGACGGGGTCCAGTTGTCCTCTCCGGTCACGCAGACGCTTCTTGGGTTGACGACTCAGCTACGCAGCGGTCGTCACATGGTTACTCTTTCAGCCTCAGTTCCGGCTCTGTTTCGTGGCGGTCTACCCGCTTGTCTTCGGTTCTCAGCTCCAGTTGTGAGGCTGAGATCTACGCCGGGGCTATGGCTGCACAGGAGCTACGCTGGCTCACCTACCTGCTGACTGACTTGGGAGAGCAGCCTCGTTTGCCTGCAGTTCTGTACGTAGACAACAAGGCCATGATTGCCTTGTGTCAGGAGCACATCGCTCTGCGATACTTCCTTGCTCGAGAGTTGCAGCAGCGTGGTCAGCTTCGTCTTGCGTACGTGGCCACTCGGGCCAACACTACTGATGTGTTCACCAAGGCACTTCCGCCTGGTGATCATCAGCGCTTCTGTACTATGTTAGGCCTTGTGCCTACTTTGCCTCACTTGCTTACTGCTTGACTCTACTTGTACTGTGATCTATATATATACCTGCATGCTTGCACTTGCTATGGTATGATCACTGTATTGTTTGTTCTCTTTATATAACTCTGCATGTGAACTAGCCTTGTGGCCCTTTGCTTGTGCTCGGACTGTGTGGTGACTTTGTGATCCACCCTGAGCTTGCTTTGCTTTGGTTCTTCTCTTGACTGGTCTTGTGACCATTGCTTGCTCTTGCTATCCCCCACTTCGCCTATGGGGGTGTGTCAGAACATATATGCTTACATTTGTATGTTTCCTTAGGCTGTAGTGGGTTTAGCCTTAGGGGGTACACAAATATTCTCGACATTCTTCTTGTACCCCCCCTTTGACCTAGTGCACATCATTCTCGATTCTAACAGTGTGCATTTCGGGCATCCCAGTGCGGGGGGATGTCAGAGGTCCACTGGTGACCCCTGATTGATCCTAGGGAAGGGTTACATGCTCGTTGTCCTGGGGGGGTTATTGGCACACTGACCCGCTACTTAAAATGCCATTTTATCCCAATGGTCTAGTGACTGTGACTGGGATTCTGACACGACGCAATTCGCAAGGCTAACACTTCTGCCCGGAAATACACGGATCTCCTACGACGGGAAATCGTCATGACAGCTGGGCAACTAGTGCTGCTTGACATGAAAAATCTCCACCTGCCCGGCTCGAACAAACTACGGCCACAATTTTGTGGGCCCTTTCACATCATCCAGATGGTGACACATGTCACCGTGAAGTTGCTGGTACCCGACGACAGTCGTATACATGACGCCTTCCATGTCAGCCTCCTTCGCAAGTTCGTGCCTGCCACGTCTGACATCGCGCGCCAGAACGCCGCCCTGACAGCTCGACCTGTCCCGGAACCGACACTCGACCCGTCGAAGATTTTGGCGCATCGTGTTCGGCTTGACGCCTCTGGCCGCCACGTGGACTTTTTAGTCCATTGGACTGACCGCACCAGTGAGGACGACACGTGGGTGCCATCCGCCTCGCTTGATATTCCCCGCTTCTTGGTGATTACCTCGCCCACAAGCGAGCTGCGGGTAGTGTAAAGAATTTTCCTTATTCCTTACCGGGGTTGACTGCTACGCGTGCAACCCTGACAATTCGGACTTCGCACGTTCAGCCGACATCCACGATGTCGAGGCTGCTCCGAGTCGCCTTCGGCTTTTCGATCGCCTAACCTGTACCCAACCTCGTTTTCCAGAGGTTCCCTCCTAGCTAGGGTAGTCACTATATTAGCGAGTGCCTTCATTGTATTGTCAGTTGATTGAGTCACTCTCGTTATTCGTTATTCCACGCACTCTATTTAACAACGCATAACAGTGGGGCGCTCAGGGTGAAGGTCCCTTACATGATTGATGCAAGAATGAGATGGGGGGGAAGGGGAAAGGGGGAGAGCGGTGTGCTTTGATTGCGGCAGCAAAAATGCCACCTTGCTCCCAAACCGTGGCATATATAGCAAGTTACCACGATTGAAAACCATCGAGTAAAGTGGTCTAATGGTCCATATAATTTATAACACCCCATTTAGAATACCCTGGGAGAGAAGGCCTTTTTTTTTAAGCTAAAATTGTTAATCATATGTGACTTTATTTAGAGAGGTGCCTGAGGTTGCTGATGCTTTGGAGGCCGAACGTAAGAGAGCCCTTAACACAGAAGGAGTAGTTGCGTGGGCGGAGAGAGGGTCAGAGCCAGGAGAAGGGAATGAGGCTGGCGATGGTGGAGAAGGGGGCGAGGAAGTTGTTGGGGTAGTACATGGCAACCTGGTCAGGGTCAGTGACGATGCCCGGCAGTGCCCACGCTATGCGCGGCCCCACAGACCCTGGCCCACTGTTGCCTTGCTCTATGAACGTGGAAGTGGTGTACACTGTACCCACCCAGTCCAACCAGCCAGTTGTATTCAGCTGAGGGGAGGGCAAGCAAAGGGCAAGTGCAGTGTGGGGATGAGGGTGAGCCCATGCATAGACAGCAGCATTGCGGAAAGGGGACAGCATGGCAGGAGAGGAGGACGTACCACATTACTGATCGTGGTGTTGATGACAGCCACTCTCGCGTAGGGCTTCCAGGGACGGCCGAGGAATATCTTGTTGACGAGGTCGCCCTGGATTTCGGAGTTGAGGATGACAATGCCCGTGTTCTCCGTGTAGTTGGTTCGCCCCGATGCCGTGATCACCCCACCTGAGTATGAGCGGATGTGGATCACGCAGTTGTCCAGCACGACCGCACTGTTGCCAAAGACGAAATCCACCGACCCGTTGACGTAGCAGTTGCGGTAGTATTGGCGCCCAGCGTGCGCATACAGAGTGTCCTGCCACCCGATGAACTCGCACTCGTAGAAGGCCGCGTTGTCGCCCGTCTGCCTGAACGCCACCGCCTGGTTCCCAGCCTTCCCTGCCTTGTTCTCAAAGCGAATGCCGATGGCAACAAAGCCACTCCCGTCCACAGCTGAGGGGGATAGAGAGGAGGGAGAGAGAGGGGGAGAGAGGGAGAGATGGTGATAGGTGCTTACAAATTTCCCTCCCAGCCTCTTCCCTCCCAGCCTCTTCCCTCCCAGCCTCTTCCCTCCCAGCCTCTTCCCTCCCAGCCTCTTCCCTCCCAGCCTCTTCCCTCCCAGCCTCTTCCCTCCCAGCCTCTTCCCTCCCAGCCTCTTCCCTCCCAGCCTCTTCCCTCCCAGCCTCTTCCCTCCCAGCCTCTTCCCTCCCAGCCTCTTCCCTCCCAGCCTCTTCCCTCCCAGCCTCTTCCCTCCCAGCCTCTTCCCTCCCAGCCTCTTCCTCCCAGCCTCTTCCTCCCAGCCTCTTCCTCCCAGCCTCTTCCCTCCCAGCCCTGTAAGGGAAGGAGATGGGCACTTACACCTATCTCTCTCTCGCTCTCTCAGTCGCCAGAAAATTAACACCCACGCAAACATTGGGCAGAGAGAGCACAGCAGCAGGAATCACCTTAGAAGATGGAGATAGAGGTTGAAGAAGCGCAAACAGAAACGTGCAGGGCACGTGGCGGCGGCAGGGAGGAGAGGAGGGAGCATGGGTGGTTGCTTACCAACAGTGGCGGATTGGAAGGTGCCGGTGCCGGCAGCGGCATTGTCGTTCCAGGAGATGACGGTGGATGCAGCAGCCAGGCCCAGAAGCGTGACGTTCTTGCAGGTGGAGTTGATGGCCACCTTCTCGTGGTACACGCCCGGCTGGATGAACACCACAAAGCGCCCGCTGAACCCCACCGGGTATGCCCTGATCGCTTCCTGCTCGCCCCCGGGGAGTGCACAAGGCAAACAGAGACGTGCGAGGGCGAGGCCAGCACACACGGGACGTGAGGGCGAGGCCAGCACACAAGTGATGTGTGGGAGAATTCCCCTCTGCTGTAAGCATGTGCATGCACTCGCACATTCTCTCTCGCACGCACCTGCACGGTGAGGAAGTTCCCGGAACCATCCTGTGCCACGGTGACCGTGGGGGTGATGCGCGGAGGGGGTGGTGGAGGGGGGGCCGGAGATGGAGGGGGAGGGGAGGGAGGGGGGGGAGAAGGGGAGGGAGGTGGAGGAGGAGGGGAGGGAGGGGGAGGGGAAGGCGGAGGAGGGGAAGAAGGGGGGGGAGAAGGGGGAGGGGGAGAAGGAGGAGGGGGAGGGGAAGGGGGCGGGGGAGAAGGAGGAGGAGGGGAAGGAGGGGGAGGAGAAGGGGGAGGGGGTGAAGGAGGAGGGGAAGGAGGGGGAGGAGAAGGGGGAGGGGGTGAAGGAGGAGGGGAAGGAGGCGGCGATGCCTTGCAGTGCGGTTCAGTGGCAGTGGCCTTGCCGGTGCCAAGAGTGGTGTCGGGGATGGAGTTGTCGGGGTTGGCGACCGTGATGGCGGTGGCTGTGCCTGCACCGGTGGTGGTAGGGCCCGCATGATGAGCCCTTCTGCGCTGCCGGTGCCGGGGGTGGCGCCAGAATTGCCAGAAGGGCTTCTTTCGGGGAGGGAGTTGTGGGGGTCGGCCATTGGGATGGCATTGCCCGTGCGTGCCCGCAGTGACGGCTTCCAGCAGGCGGCGGCGAGTGGGGTCAGTGGAGTTGTGTTTGTGGGCGGCGCCTTTGCCAGTGCCGGGAGTGCCGGTGTTGGGGTTGGCCACCGTGATGGCAGTGCCCGTGCCTGCACCCGTGACGGTGGGGCCCTCATCACCGCTGGTCGCGCCGGTGACTTGCAGAAGGCGGCGGCGAGAGGGCGAGGGCGAGGGCACGGCGGTGGCAGCAGCAGAGTTGTCGCCTGCTGCGATCATGGCCGCCATGTCCGCTGCTCGCCCCAGCGCCTCCATCACCTGCGCCCGCGCGTCCATCGCTGCTTTCTGCACGCACCAACACACATGTCGCCGCCAAAGCCGCGTGCAACACCATGAGCATTTTACGAACACTGCACAAGGCAAGTCGCTCACTAAGATTACTTTCCAGGGCGCGGCAATATGGGCAACAAATGGTGGCGAGAAGCGAGCGGGGAGCGCGAGATCAGCGCCATGCCATGCCATGCCACGCTATGCCATGCCATGCCACGCCATGCCATGTTATACCATGCCATGCCATCCCATGCCATGCCTTACCATGCCATGCCATGCCACGCCATGCCTTCCCATGCCATCCATGCCATGCCATGCCATGGCTGCTCACTCCACGGCAGTCATGGCGTGCGCACCGAGCAGCAGCAGGGGGCGAGGAGGCACGCACCTGCAGGGCCTTGACGCGCGCGTCGCGCGAGCTGCCCGGCGCGAAGAGGTCGAAGCCCTGGGCGCAGTCGAGCGCGAGAGTGACGGCGGTGGAGAGGTGGATGCGCGGCAGATTCACGTCCTCGCTGCCGCTCGCCATCATCCCCGCTGCCGCGTCCAAGCTCTCCGATGCCAACGCCATCTGCCATCAGGGCACACCGATCACACATTACGAGGGCATCAGCATGACGCCACAATGCACTGTCATCAAGTGCAGGGAATGCTGCCATACGAGCAGATTCTGTTGAGCCCGACTGAGCCCGAGTGAAAGTGGTCGTCTCACCTGTTCCACGCAACTGCGCACCAAGCCGGTCCAACTTGGAGCCTTCACGTTTGTCGCATCCTTCAGCGCCGAAGCGCGCGAACGCGCCACGGCAGCCGCGGCCTTTCCGGCCACCATGAGCGCCCGGGCCTCTCGCGACTTCAGCTGGAACTTGGCGGCCCGCCACACCACCAAGTCCCGCATGCGCACTCCCGACGTTGCCTCCGGTGGGGCCTTGTTTGGCGCATTACGGTGACGCATTACGTTGGTCGGCTTCTGTAGGGCCTTGTTTGGCGCCTCGACCTGCGCCTGCGCCGCCGATGGGCCCTTGGTTCGTCTCTGCACTGCCTGCACCTGCGCCGTCGCCGTCGCCGCTGGCGTCAGAGGGTCCGTGGGCGACGCCTGCGGCAGCTTCAGGGGGTCCTTGGGGGCACCTCCGCCGCCTGCAATGCCGGCCCGGGTGGGCAAAGGTCCTTGGCCGCCGCTTGCGCCATTTGTGCCGGCGTCAGAGGGTGCCTGGCCGGCGCCTGCGCCGCCAACGCCGCCGGCGTCAGTGGGTTTGTGGGCGACGCCTCCTGGGCCGCTAGTGGGCTTGTGGTGTGTCGCTCCGCTGCCTCCGCCCTGGGTGGGTGCTCCGCCTGCGCCGCCAGCCTGCTCGACCAGCGAGCGTTCCTGCTGCGCACCGGCGGTGGTCGCTCCGCCACGAAACCACGACTGCGGAAGGTTGAGCAGACTGAGACTCTGAGGGAGGCGGCGGGAAGAGCGGAACATTACGGACGCGTCTGCCACTGGTAGTGCTGCGCCAGGGAAAAGGAGAACCGCCATGGCCGCTACGAGTAGCGCCGTCGCATGATGGACGGTCATGGCATCCCTAAATTCAAAACGCAAAAAGCACTCCGGAAGTGAGGGATACTCCCAGGTACCCTAGACGAAAACCCTGGGGTATTCCTCCCCGGGGTATCCTGTTGGTAGTATCCTGCTAGTACTACGGATATCGCTCGAAAGTTTCTGGGATGGGCGGACACCTCAACACCACGCTGGTTGCGGGCCGGCGTGACGCTTTCGTGGCGACAGCTGCTTGAAAATAGTAGCGAAATTCGAAGTCTCTGCACGAGAGACTGTAAGACAAAGACCATTGTCGCGGCAGCTTACTACTCAGAGCGACTCTAACGCAGCCCGCCTATTCGTAACTCTGATGGAATGCGGTGTTGTGGGTTCCAGCGAAGTTGTTTGGTTGCCCACGATGAGGCATCGTGGGGTGCCGGCTTATCGATGCGCGCGTCCATCGCGCGCACGAGCATGCTTTCTGACAAAAAAAAAAAAAAAAAAAAATGTGGATAGAATTACCGCGGCACGGGCTTTGGTTTCGTGAATTTTTTATATCGCGCTCAATTTTTCCAAAAACCCGAAACTTATGCAATCCACCTTTTATCCCGCGCGTTTCACGCTCGCGTCATTTCGCTTTATATAAACACTTTTATGGTTGTTTTTTTGGGTTTCCGTTTGTCGGTGGGCAGTTCGCTGGTTGACGTGGAACTTCACTGCCACGCAGTGTCAACCGATTGGTCATTTCGTCCCTGACAGTTTGGAATGCAGGTTCGGCCAAGCTCGAGCGCGAGCAGGTTCGTCAGCGTGTTTTGGTTCAATATTTCAGAGAGTGGAGGCTTGTGCGGTTGAGCGTGTCGAGACTCGATTGGTGAGAGCTATTTAACCATGTGGTAGTGGATGTTGGGCGCCTGTACAGAAAACGTAAACCTGGCCAATATATTGCACTTGGTAGCGTCGGTAGCGCTCGGTAGCGCTACCATTTCGCTAGACGACGCTACCGAGTGAGTCAGCATGCTGACCGTGGGCAGGAAAAACTAAAACCCATTCGGACTCCATGCCATTCGGGAAAAAACTAAATTTTAGGGTTGATGCCTCCCGAATGGCATGCCTTCCGAATGAGTCAGCGGGCAAGGAAAACAAAATAAAACCCACTCGGAAGGCATGCCAAGCGCTACCGACGCTACCAAGTGTAATATATTGCGCAAATTTCAAATGATAGGTGTGTCGGGCGCCTCGGTTATATATTGTCGTTCTGAACACGCTTCCACGTGCGGGGTCAGAACGACAGACACGTCATGCTGGACCGCTTTAGACTTGGTGAGTTGGCGTTGTTTTCGCCTGTTAGTGACAGGTCCGTTTTTAGATATTATTATCGCGCCATATTTGAATTGGTATGCCACATGTCATGTTTTGGTTTGTTCAGTTGTGTTCATTTCATGTTAATAAACGCGCCAACGCTCTGAACACGATCTTGTCACCGCGATTTCTGACGAAACGCCATGGTCACAACCACCGCCAAGATGCTGCCAACTGGGTCTGATAGGTGAATTGTTGATGTTCGTAGCTGCGATCCAAACTGTCAGGGATTTTGAGTCCACTCTGCACCATTACCAAATGCCGTTCAATATGTCGTTCAAACCAGCCTTCACGTCGCATCCCAAAAATTCATGGGCTTGGATTACCACCTACATGTTGCGATGGGCTAACATAGCTGTAGTGGCAGAAGCACAATGGTGGAACCACCGCCTAGAGGGCGTGATATGTATGACATCATTCTAGAGCAGTTCGACGTAGATTTTGAGCCCGCGGAGAAGCCTACTATCAATCACAACGCTGCCGTTCATGAGGGTAACTGGTACTCCTCGCGAGATCATTGCCTTTTTGCCTTGCTTGATGATGCGGTGCTGCATCGATACGGTTTCTACATGAAGTCTACCAGGAGGGCATCGGCGCTTGCCTTGTGCAAGAGTCAGAAGCTTGGTTTGGAGCCGGACCGTCCCTGGCGGTGCAGCTATGCTCGCATACAGCGAAACGGGCCGTGGCAATATGATCTAAACCCTAAACCCTGAACCCTAAACCCTATTCGTATACATTTATAGCTGCCTACAGTAGAACCTAGTGTAGTTATAAGATCTTGCAGGTGGTGTACCATTGTTTCCTCTTTTGCCTATATCTTGTACCCTTGTTCATTATTGAAACCCTCTTTGACAAATCTCTCTCGACATGTTCCTCTCGACCTTCCTTACCTCTCCCCTCTCTCGTAACCTAGCTGTTGCTCCTAAGCTTAGCTAGTTACTATTCTGACATGCTATCAGAGTAGGTCGCTTCTAGGACCTAATGTTCATGGGCCCACCAAACTCGCCATCTACGATGGCGGCCCATTTTTCTGCTGCAGCAGCTCCGCGAGCTGATGGCGTCGAGCTCGCGCCTGTTCGCGGTCCACGGGCGTTTCGCGAGTGCGTCGGGTACGTGCGTCGCGCACGTGATTCGCGCGCGCTTCGGGACAGCGCCCGTGGCGCTTGTCGCTCGCCTTCTCGCGCGGACCCCGCTGTCTCGTCGCCCGCTGCACCCCTCGCTGGATGCCCCCCCCCTCGTCGCCCTGTGCTGTTTCGTCACCCCGCGGCCTCGCCTGCACCGTCGCCAGCCCCGCGCACGCTCGTCACGCCGCCCTTGCGCCTGCCCGTCGAGTGAGCCACCGTCTGCCTGACGCGCTGCACCCGCGACCCCCGGGCCAGCCCACAGCTTCCCCCCCACGCCCCACCCGTCACGCCCCAGCATGTTACCCCACCCGCCCTCCCGACGGCCCCGCTGTTGCTGCCGAGTTTGCTCCTGCTGTGTGGGGGGAGGGGGGTTAGTTGGGGGTGGTGGCCGTGAGTGGGGGTGACGGGGGTGGATGCCGTCGCGGCTCCCGTCACTTCTGCTTCTCGTGCAACCGTGGAAGGGGGAGGGGGCGGAGGTGGCGGGAATGTACCCGAAAGAACCAGCCGCCGCCCTCCTCTCTACTCTCTCTCCCTCTAGCGCCTGTCGTTGTGGGGGAAAGGGGGGGGTGTGAGGGGGTGGCGAGAGAGATTCTATTGAGCCAGCAGCCGCCCATCCTCCTCTCTCTCTCATAGCTGCATGTGCCACTGTGGGGGGGAGGGTGAGGCGGTGGCGGAAGTCAGCCAGGCATCTGCAGCTGCCGCCCGCTGTTACCGTGGCACCTCCAACTGCCGCCCCTGCCTCCACCTGCTGTTTCTTTTGTTTTCTGTCTGCTGCTGTTGGTTGGCAGGTGCTGCCGTTGAGCCTTGCTGTGCCGCCGCCCTTGCCGCCGCACGCTCCTGCTCTCCAGGCGGCTTGCCGCCACATGCACCTACTTCTGCTGTGCCGCCGCCCTTGCCGCCACACGCTCCTGCTTCTACTGCTTCAACCTTGGCGGAGGGGTTGGTGCAATTGAATATGCTACCACTGCACCGGTTGTCACTGCTCTTGCCTGCTGTTGCTATTTTCTCTGCACTTGGTGTACCCCTGCAGGAGGAGTACTGCACATGGTTCTAGCTGTAGGCATTTAGGGGGTGTGTTGAAATGTATTCGTATACATTTATATCTGCCTACAGTAGAACCTAATGTAGTTATAAGATCTTGCAGGTGGTGTACCATTGTTTCCTCTTTTGCCTATATCTTGTACCCTTGTTCATTATTGAAACCCTCTTTGACAAATCTCTCTCGACATGTTCCTCTCGACCTTCCTTACCTCTCCCCTCTCTCGTAACCTAGCTACTGCTCCTAAGCTTAGCTAATTACTATTCTGACAAAATTGTACAGCTGTCCGATCCCACGTAGCACACTTGCGACCGTGTCTACCGGGGGCGATGGTGGCCGGGAATGGGGAAGTACCTTTGGCGTAAATTTGGCAACTTGGTCCGTGCAGCGCCTTTCAACGCCCCTTGGGACTACGCCAGGCAGATTCAGGCCTGCTCTGGTCCGAAGTTAACATACAACAACGCTTTATGGTGAGCGTACATCCATAATACTCCAAACATGTTTTCATCGTCTCTAGTAACAACTCTGTAGATCCATCACTCATGTCCCGATTCCACCCAATTTTTCCACCTTCGCAGGCTGAAGGTCGAGATCACGGATCAGCGATTCGGCGACTGGTGCGAGTCATTCCGCTACATTCCGGCACTGCATTAGCGGAGCCACCGTAAGACTACTCACGTATAATAACGAATTTCTCCGCTTCTTCATGGCGCCGAGTGCCACCCGTGAAGCACTGAAGACTTGCAGGCCTGCCGTCTCAATGGACGGGACTTTTTTTATCCGTGCTCAGAAAGCTACTCTGCTATACGCGAATGCGATGGACGGCAATCAACAGATCATCCCAATCGCGTGGACGCTGGTTGAGAGCGAGACCAAGGACACATGGACTTGGTTTTGCCGGCTTTTTGATGAGCACTGTCCCGACTGGACGGGGCGGGACGACGCCGCCATCATCAGCGACCGTGACAAAGGCCTCATCCCGGTAGTGAAGGATGTTTTCCTAGAGAAGGTGGCGCACTACTTCTGTGGGTGGCACATGCAGCATGACGTGAAGCGGGTCGAGAAGACGTCCGCGGACATGTTATGGCGAATTTTGACAGCAATGACGGTGATGAAGTACAACAACCTCAAGGCCGGTGCACGGGATTCCCATCCTCTGCTCACGACTTACCTCTACGGTCCTACACTTGTTGCCGACGTGCCGGAGCCAAACCCCACACCACCAAGAGGCTTTCGAATTCGCCGACGCAACGTTCAGCAAACACGCCAGACACGCGCGATCGCCAACAATATTGCGGCCGAAGCGGCAGACGCACGGCGGCGTGCCCGAGAATCACAGTCGCGCCGACGCGGCCCGCGACAGAGGCAGAGCGGCGCAGGACGCCCACCTGCACATTCCGCAACGCCCTGCCCATCCGCAGCGCCAGGGCCATCCGCAGCGCCTCGCCCATCCGCAACACCGTCACCCTCCTCTGCGCCCCGCCTATCCGCAGCACCAGCATCATCCGCTGCACCAG